AGGCACTAGTGTGTCCCCTTAACCCAAATAAGCCACAGCCTTGGCTCCCCAAAGTCATTTGTATTATTATAGTTGCATTATTCCAAAGCACTCATACTACCAAGTAGGCCACCTAAGCGCAGACCAACCAATCAGGGGGTTATGATTGACAGGATGAGGATACCATGACACGTTTATCTTGCTACAGTTGCTAAGATTGAAGCACTACAGGATGAGAAGCTCTCAAGCCGCTTTTAGAGTCGGGATTAGGGACTCCAAGAATAATATTACCCCTTTACTTAAACCTTCAGTTCAAATTAGAAACAGGAAGTAGGGGAGACTCCTGGAGTGACAGCGCTTGAGCTAAGTATTCTCAAGTGAAAAGAGGCAGCTCACTGACTAATCATCTGATTTTGGGAAAGAGGTGCAGACTGAATGAACAGAAAAAGCAAAGAAAACAACTTATAGGCCCCAGGATTAACATTTTCGATGAGAAAGAAATGTAAAGGGTGACTAGAAACTGATTCAGGAAGAGCCTGTGTTCCAGGCAGAAGCAATGGCTTTGATTCTGCAGGGTGCAGGGAGCCCGGAAGTACTTGCTAAAAAGTAAGCTGAAGTATGACAACTGACCATAAGCCAGGGGGTTGTCATCATACCAGGGAGAAAAGGTGAAGGCAAGGATTTGAACAGTAATATATGAGGGAGAGGCATGGAAAGATACCATGCTTCTGTTTCCTGTCTGAACCGGAAGACTTTGACTTGTAGACGCTTTCCATGGGGAGAGAGCACAGTTTAGCTAAATTTGTCGAGTACTTCTGAGAAGAAAAATGTAAGTCAATAAAAGAGACGCTGGGGAAAACTGAAATGCAGTAGCTACTAACAATGCTATACAAGGAACTTTAAGTGCATTTTCTCTTCACAGTAGCACAATAGCAATTACTATTGTCCAACAGCAATTATTGTAGTCTCCACTTACAGATGTGGAAGTTGAGGTTAGAAATCTTGACGAAATAGCAAGTAACTGGTGTAGTTGAAGTGTGAAATCCAGTTTGTCTGGCGCTGAAGATTATGATTGTTTTAGCTAGAAAAAGAGCAAGTTTGGAGAGGGGGTGGCACAGTCCATTTTAACACCTGGCGCCTTTCTACTTCACTCCAGCAGCTGGGCCATGTGTCACAGTCCATCAGTAGTTTGTCTGGAGGATCAAGAGGACCCTTTAGATTGTGGGAAATTATAAGAATTTTCAGTATCATTCTGTGGGAAGAGTGAATAAGAGACTCCGGCAAGGCCCAGTATCTGATAGAAGCAGATGAGATGCTAAAAGCCACCCAAGCCGGAGAGTCAATTTACTTTAGGTGGTGCAGGCTTCAAGGCAGGGGGAGGATTAGGGAAGAAGCCAGAGAGAGAAATGCACAGCTGGGGATTGTAGGAAGTGGGAATTGGGGAAAAAAATGTCAGTTAGCTGTACAAAGTTTGGAATCCTGATGGATTGGAATCCTGCAAAGAGCATTTGGTTCTGGAAGGATTGAGCTTCTGAGGTCTTATCCTCATATTTGTCTTTTGGTTTAAAGACTGTAAAAAGTTTAAGAAATGACATATAAAATGCACAGTCTGAAAAAGAAATGTAATAATACACACAGTTTCACAAGAAGTCAGATTAAGATCGAGCTCATTGTTAGAATAGGATTTTAGAGCAGCAGTCAGTACTGACGCCGTTGTTCATTCAATGAATCCAGCAGGCAGAACAGAGTCTACATACTGGGGGCTGTGTGCTCTACTTGGGGCTGTAACTGTGGACACTGAAAAACTTCACAGAAAAATTTAACATAGGATGGAGTATTGATATGTGTCTGGGAAGTTTTTGTTTCTAACTTTATTTTGTTTTCAATTCAGTTTTAAAAAATAATGGAAATTTTTATATGACTTACATAGATAACTATGTCCTTATTCCTGATTAGATTTCTCTGAGTGCTTAATGTGTCTTTGTTACCTGCTTCTTACCTTGATTCTCTGCTTCCTATTTGCTTCCTTTCAATGGGTGCTTTGGAGACTTATAGATATACTTTAATTAATTAGAAAATACATTTCATTAGGAAGTTGTTCTTGAATAGACAGAGCCTGTCAAAAAATTTATGCTTGTGGGGCTGGGGATTTAGCTCAACTGCACAGGTGCCTGCAGGGCAAGCGTGAGGTCATAAGTTTGATCCCTGGTACCGAAAAAAAAAAAAAAAAAAAAAAAAAGTATGCTCACTTTAGCAAAACAAAAACAAAAACATTTCAACACTACATTGATTGAGATATGAAATTAATGAAAGTTACTTTTGGCCTCTACAATTAAAAGAGGTGCTCAAAGTGGCGGCCTTTAGCTTCCAGCCACTTATTAGTATGGCAAACTGCTGCTTATGTAGCCTTGATATTGAGATTGCTGCACATGTGTTTTCAATTGCTTCTCGAAGGGCCAGCAGTGTAGTGGGTTTTCTGTGATGTAGGACATCTTCTAGGATCCCCCATAAGACGGTAACACCATCTGTTGAAAAAACCTCATACTGTTTTTCTTTCCTGAAGTATGTATACATTTTTAGCAGACTATATATATTTCATTGCTCAAATACTCAGAAAAATATGATTTTCTTAAAGATTTTTCAGTTTTGCATTTTATTCATGTGACAGATACTAAGGTACATAAGCGTAAGTCTGAGTGACATAAATTCTTCAATCTTTTTGCTCAACTTTGTCTAAACATACCCATCAAAATCCACTGAAGACTAACTCTTGGCACTGGAAAACAAAGCAATAAGAAGGAAAGAAAAAAAGAAAAGAAAAGAAGAGAAAAGATTCCTCTTTACACTGGTATTTTGTGTAGTTAAGAGCTGAGACCTAAATGACACTGCTGATATGCAGAGCAGTGATGTGAATGAGAACAAAATCACTGATTTGGTGGAGATCCCTTGACTCAGCTCTTGGCCTTTTATGTTTAAAATGTCTGAATCTGCAATGTCTGAATGGGATACTGGACCCAGAGTTAAATCTGAGCATATTTCTTCTTTTGACTAGTTTCAATTCTGGTGGGAGAGGATTGTGTGTGTGTGTGTGTGTGTGTGTGCGCGCGCGTGTGTAACAAGTTTAAAAACAGAAGAAAGAAGGAAACAATGAAAAGCAAAGTCCTAATGTCGGTATTAGAAGAAAATGTGACTAATAAAGCCAGAACCCCCAATGGTTTTGTGAAAATGTGGAAGAAGAGGTGGGGTGAGACAGATGTGCTATTAAGCTTTGAAGCTGTGACATTTGGAAGCCAGAGTTAGGTTTCATTTGAAACTGTGAATAAACAGCTTGGGAGTTGTCTATGATGCTCTTTTGTGTCACGGGTTTTGTTCTTCTTGTCTCAGGGCATTGCAAGCTAACTGTTGGGCAAATTGATCAACTCTGATGATTATCTTGGAGTGTATCACCTTGAAAACTCTTCTTACACTTGACTCCAGTGTAACTAGAATTTAAGTTAATAAGACCCATTTAAAGACCCAAAATCTTTCTGAGACTGTTATAGTACTGCCCTTCTGGTTTATAATGTTCATTCATGTCATGGAATTCTATTCATGACATGTATTTACATTCCTGCACAGCACCTTAGAGATAGGAGGGATGATTGCAATATGAAAGTAAAAGACCCAACAGATGAGAATAGCAAAGGCTGTTATTCAGAGCTCACCTTTAGCTAAGAGTCACAGGCAAGCAGAGGAACAGGAAACCAAAGTGGAAAAAGGAGTCAAATCAAATTTGGCCTCAAGCTACTGCCTCCATCCAATCTAGCTCAATATAGGAACAATTTTCAACCTAATTTGTGTATATTCTTGTAACAAGAAGCAGTCTTTAGGCCAGTCATAATGTAGAATGATAAAACAAGAATGATTAGACTTCAAAAAATTAAACCTAAAGAAATTTAAATTAAAACCATTATAACATAAAAAAAAATTGCCATGAATTCCCCTCAAACTGATCTTGCTTATGTCATTGTTCTTGTCATTTTCGGAAGCAGTTCTAGAAATCTTCCTTCATGTCTTCAGTTGTATTTGTGCCTCGATTTCAATTGATTGTAAATGTTTCCTTTCCTGGCCATTTGGATTTGGGGGAGAGCCAAGAGTTGGATTAGGCCAGATCAGGCAATGACGCATATTTTTTATAAACTTACCTTTCCATTGGATTGCACTAGGCAGGAATATTCACTGTGATTTTGATCACACCTGAATCAGTAGCTAAAGATAGTGGCCTAAATTACTGTAAGTCTGACGCTTAGGAGATTGACTTCCTGGATTGATTGTTGTAGATAATAGGTTAGAGCACTGTTATATGTGCGTTGGGAATTTTCTATTTTTACATACAGCTTCTTGTGTGATTATCTAATTTAAATGAAGAAAGATTAAGTTGATTCACAAAGAATGAAGGGCTATTAGTTAGTTGAATGACTATTACGTTATGTGTTTGGCACTTTATAGTTTCTAAAATATTTTAATCATGTAGGCTAACATTAGATTCCTGAAATAAAAACAAGAAAATTAGGCAGAGTTGGCATTATCTCCATGTTGTACGTAAGAAAAAATAAAGTTCTCAGAGGAGAAACAAGCCAGGGTCACCAGTCAGGTTTACAAAGACAAGAGGCCTCTAGTAAGGAGCTTAGACGTGGCTCTGAGATAATTTGAGGGTCTTTTGAAGGACTTCATAAAGAGAGTGGGCATAAAGATGCACACAAGAGAAGTGTTACTAAAGTGGGTTCCATATTCTCTGAAGGCCTCTTTTCTCCAAAGAAAAATATGTACCCCCCCCATATTAACCTATACCCCTCAGGGCAAAAAAAAAGTCGCATGTGATCTATGCCTCTGTTATATTGAAATTCTTCATCTCTGGTATAAGTCTCAGTTTCCAATCATCCACTGAAAACATTTTAGAACATCACTCTCTGATTTTTAAAAAAAGAACTTGGAGAAGATTTGAGTTTTGTTTAACAGAGGATAATTTGCTTCCTACACAGAGTCCACCGAGGAGCTGAAAGTCCGAAGCCACAGCACGGAACCTTTACCAAAGCTGGATAGTAAAGAGAGAGGGCACCACGGAGTGGCTTCCTCCAGAGAGCCTGTCAAAGCTCAGGAATGGGATGGAACCCCAGGCCCACCTGTGGTCACCAGTAGAATGGGAAGATGCTCTGTGAGTCCCACCTTGTTGGCAGGAAACCACAGTTCAGGTAAGCACGATTCTTCTTAACTTTAGGAACTGTTTTCAGGCAGTTATCACACAGAGAATCATTGCCATCATACAGCTATCTCCACTCCAAAGAGACTACATAAATAAGGCAATTAATAACGTAAAGCAATGCAATAACCTATTGTACCACTGCAGGACTACTAATATTACAAGACGATGGAGAAGTAGATGGTGCTTCTCAGAGCTGTGCACTGCTGTGGCCTGACCGCTTGGAAAATTTTGTACTAGATTTCCATGAAAACATCTGGAGGCTGCAGAGAACACCATTTAGCAAATGAATTTCACTTCAATTTTTATATATCCTTTGTTTCAAAATGATCTTAGACAACTTTGAACAAAAGTACTATTTACTAATCTGAAGCTAATCTGAAGGCAATGGAGATAGCAGAGATTTTGAAGCATTTCAAAGGGGTAAACTGAAACCAATAACCTATCACTGAGTTCAGTACTAAGTTTCCAAATTTAAGATAAAAGAGATAGAAAATTTTAATCTACTACACTTTTAAATCTCACATCTTGAAATTAAAATATGTAATGCAATATTATGCACATCAGTTTTTCAAAGTGGCATGTGTTGACTTTGAACAGATTAATTTACATGCTGGACTCATGGAGAGCTGTCAATTGAAATAATAGATAATCAAGGAACTTCCTGCAGTTTGCAGATTTTTATTGCTTAAGAATGTTAAGAAAAGACCAAGTCTTTAATGTTCATTTTAACTTTGAAATTCATTTTAGAAAGTAGTTTACATGAATTTAGGCTGTGGTAACTCTGACACTCGTGCATGAGTTAAAACTTTGACAGCATGAATGATCTTACGAAAGGAGAATTCCTGGAGTTCCCCAGCAGTAGCTCACTCAGACTTTCTCCCAGACCTAAAACTTTGATGGTGACCATAGCATATATCATGTGAAGAATCAACTTTATAGCATATGCTCAAATCTGGCAGAAGAAATACTATTTGTGTTTAGCAGTAATTTAATTACATTTTTATATTAAGGTATAAATTGCCATACATGCAGGAAAAGAAGTATTTGGCATTTTGCTAGAAAGAAAAAAAAATTTAAGAAAATGTAGTTTTTTTGTAGGTCAAAAGTTACTATACCCCTCCCAAAATGGTTAATGTCACTTTTCAGTTGGGGCTTATGATTAGTTTGGAGAAGAATTAATATTTCAAAGAGCCATCTACATGTGTAACAGCTCTATCCAAAATACATGAATAATGCAGTGTGACCACAGATATATTTTATAGGAACTGGAAGGATTACCTGAGAGTCTATGATGTATCAACTATTATCCGGGGGTCTAGGAGTACAGTGGTGAACAAAAAATATCTTTGATTTTAATGCTCAATGTCTGATGCAAGGAAGTCAAACAGAATTACAACCCAATATGATCTTTATAGTCACAATTCTATAGAAAAACAGAACCAATAAGGTATATGCAGACATATAGAAAGAGGTGTCTTGTTAGAGGTTGATTAAAACAATTATGGAGGCTTTTAAGATCCTTGATTTGCTAACTGCAAACTGCAGTCCCAGGAAAGCCAATAGTGTGTTATAATCCAAGCTGAAAGAACCAGGGAGCCGATGGCACAAGTGCAAGTCTGAGTTAAAAAGCTAAAGAACCGGATGCTAATATCCAAGCACAGGAGATAGAGGGACAGCTCAAGAGAGGAGTAAATTTGTCATTTTTTCCTGCTTATTTTATTCAGGTCCTTGATGGATTAAATGATGCCTACTGGCATTGATGAGGTTGATTTCTTCTTTTGATCTATATATTCACATATAGATCTTTTCCAGAAAGAACATCACAAACACACTTGGAAGTAATAGTCTACTAGCTAACTGTGCATGTCTTAGCCCAATCAAAATCACATGTAAAATCACACGAGGTGTATAAAATACTATGTGAAGGAGAAGAGAATCAGTTCATTCTTCCAGGGAGATTCTGATTTGGGCAAGAATAATCAAACGCTTTTAGTGGATAAAATAAAACTTGTTGGAGGAGGTAACATTTGTGTGATGACTTGAAACAGAGTTGCTCACCAGAAAGAGGAAGAAGAATAGCCTTTTTTTGGAATGAAAATCTACAAGTCTATGAGGTAAAAAAAAAAGTGTGTTTAGTGTCAAGGATAAGATTGAAGAAATTGTAAATGTAGGTGTTCACCAGAGAGCTAGAAACATGGAGGGCTTTGTGTGTAAATTAGAAATGCTTTCAACTACAAAGCACAAATTAAGTGTCTTAAATAATAACGACCTCTGTTAGCTCCCTTTGCATCGTGTCTGATTGTGACTAGCTGCTAACAGTTGTCATCAAAGATTTGGAAATTTTCTGTCCTTCTATGTCTCCTGCCCTAACACAGTTAATATTTATTTCATGGTCATGAGTGAATGATTACAGTTTTTTGCATGATGCTCCAGAAAACTCTCTCCCTTTTATGGTGAAAACTGGAAAACACAGCTCTTGTCTAAACTACTGACTGAGTGAGGAGAAATGAGATTTCTGTGCATTTATCAAGAGTTTTTCTTTTCCCCAATTCAGAGATTCAGCCTTATATCTACAAATGAAAACAATCTATTTGTATGGATAAAGGAACAAAGATACTGGGTAAACATGGGTGGGTTCATGGATATTTGGTGGTCTTTTTTTAAAAAATAGGAATAAGGTAATTTGGTGTATGACATGAAAGATACAATTATGACTCCAATGCTATAAGCTCAGGTGATGAGGACACAATTCACTGAGACAGATATTCCACAAGATGTGAGCAAGATTTAGGAAGAAATGTCTAGGCTTATACTTTGACTCTGTTAAGTTGAAAGTGGTCTTGGATATCTAATAGACAAAACAACATATAGTTGGAATTAAAGGTGTGAAGCAAATAAGATTTAGTAGGACTCAAGATTGGGATTAGAGAACTTTGGAGTGGTTAGAATGACAGACTGGATAAACCTAAAATAAAGAGATAATACAAAAAGAAAAAAATTGAGTGAGGCCACTGATTTCAAGATGTGAATAGGGACAAAGAGAGGAAAATCTGGGCGATGGACAGAAATGACATATTTTGAAGGTTCATAAATAAAATTTTACTGTATGCTTAGTAAGTTTCACAAAAATTGGCAAATACACACCTTACATGTCTTTAACACTTGGACATAAATCTTCTGAGAAATTTAGAGTGTAAACAGAATTTATACCACACTTTCAGTTTCTTTGGCCTCCAACACGTGAAGCATGTATTTTGGTTTCCTGCATCTAAAACCTGCTCTCTCAAGCCTTTACCTCTGTTTATAGAGCAGTAAATTGTCCTCTGACCGGAAGAAATGGCATAAATATTTCCAATCCCTCCCTCTCTGCCTGTTAGATTCTGAGAGAGTTAGATGGAGATGGAAGAAGAAAAAATATTTTTAAACTTTAATTAGGAAGGGCTGTGCATGTAGCTCAGTGGTATAACAGTTGCCTAGCATATATAAGGATTGGATTCCCCTTCACTGAAGGAAAGAAAGAAAGAAAGAAAGAAAGAAAGAAGACTATAAAACATATTTTTGACCATATTTTAAAAATGCAAAATATAGAGGCACAATAAAGTCGTATATTTAATGTCAGCTCAATTTAGTTTCTTACATGAAAGTGAAACTCAAAAGAGCATTGCATATACTTAGATCTTTACTTGTCTACCACTTTTGAGGTTAAGAAAGAAAAAGGAAAAATTGTTGTGCTAGTTTTTATTTTTATGAACAGAAAGAACTTAAAATATGCCAATTAAATATAAGAAATTGCCACCTTTCCACTAGAGAAAATGTATAAAATAGAGAACTGATGTTTACTCAACTTTCATATTTAAAACAATAACCACGCAATAACCATATTTGGTCATAAGATGTTCTTTGGCCAGAACAAGTAAGTAGCTACAGAAAGGGCTTTGGACTGGCTGCCTCTCATTCTGCTCATTCTTTTATTATTATCTCCTTACCAATCCTCTATCAGAACAATAGAATTAAAATCTGTGACCCATTTCCCCAGGCTAACAGGTACCCAGTGCCGTACCTAACATCACACGGAGAGAAAGGAAGTTTCCAACCCTAACTTCCCACCTCGGAGTGTGTGTATCTCCCCACCATACACAAGTTTCTATCAGTCACAGACTATTGCCTTACCAAAAGTAGTTTAGCCACTTGAAATGGTTGTTCTTAACAGCTCTTTTGAGGAATGGAGGAATTGCTGAAGGAAAGCAAACATGTCAGGAGATCTCAATTCTAATTAACATTGCCACTCACTGCCGCAGTACTTTATTAAAGTTACTGTTGGTTAGTAATTCAGAGATTCTCCAGGGGGTGATTCTCGCAGGCAGTGGAGAACGGGGACCCAAATGCTCATGAAAATAATAGGGGAAAGTGGAGAAATTATACAAGTAAAAATGGTATTAACAAAAATTCAGATTTCAATCTCTGAATCAGTTAACAATTAGTTTCCAAGCAGCTTGTATCTGACTCTGCTATGGCTTCTGGGCCATATACACACCTCACATACACAGTTGCACACACCGTATGCTATGCAAAACACAGTCTCTGCAACTCAGTAATCTTCTCTGCTTCTTTATAGCTCAGAGCTAAGGAACACACATTAATTACAATTAAAAGAATTATTTTCATTATTATCTACTATTTAATAGACATTTGAAATAATTCTAAAAAACAAAAAGTAGTGCACACCTGAATATGATGAAGGGTATACCATGAGATACTGAGTCAAACCAAAAGGATGTCAGGTCATCTTTAAAATCTAGATTATTATTGTCAGTTTACTAAAAAGATGCAGAACTTTCCATATGAAGACAAAGAAAATAAAATAAAGATGGAAAAAGGTCTCTCTTGGCTTGTGTCTAACTTTCCAGCCTGACTAAAATTGAGAAGCATTTTTAGAAGTTAACTTAGAAGGCTTTGGCTTATAAGCAAAATAGTATCAGGTATACACAC